CTGCCGAACGAATCATGGGGGGTTTTTGGCGTGTGAGTGAGAACAAGGTGAATAATCTGGTACCATGATGGCTACAATATGTTTTTTTGGCTGTAGTGCTTGTGGTCCGAGCTTTTGGAGGTATTTTAGCCATTATAGCAAACTGGGGCAAGGTTTTCCTTAGTTCTTTTATGGAATTTTGATAACAACAAACGAACACTCCCCTCCAGTGAAAGTGGTGGGCTTCTTTTCATCTTCCAACAAGGCCTTCTCTCTGATATATATTTCTGTAATATCAATGAGCTACCGTTGGTCGTGGGTAGCAAATGAGAACAGTTTTAGGAAGATGGGTTTTAGGAAATTGTTTGCTAGATGGACCTCTGGTAGAAGGTAGCTTTGAAATTTAGACTTCTTCTTCTTCCTCCTCTTTTTCTTCTGGTGCGTAATTTGCTGGAGAAGTCAGATTGTTGTGACAAGAAATAATTATGGTTCTACTGTATTTTTTTGTGTGTTTTACTTGTAGCAGCTTCCCTGACAAGAAAGGATTGAAAGAGGATGGACCAGATAGTTCGCTTGGAGCTTCACAACGTAGCAAGCTTGTAAGGGTTTTCCTTTTTGGAGAGTCAAAGGGAACAGCTTTCTTAATCTTGGCATTAGTAATGTTGTTGAGGGTTTTGCTTGTGCCAGCTAATTTAGCCCCAATGTTTTATGAGGGGCTGGCAAACAAAGCAAGGCATTATTTAGATTGATTCTTGATTATGTTCTATTTGAGACTTTATTTTCCCTATGTGCACTACAATCTGCAGATTCTGTTTCTTGTTTGCTGAAAGAGGGCATCTAGTTGCCCCTCTTGGCACTGGTTCAGAATGTGTACAACTACAGTATCTTGTTTTATGTGTGATTGATGTAATTGTGTGATGTTTAATGCACAGGATATGGGATACCTACAGGAGTCTATCAAAAGCCAGAGAAAACAATCCCCAAAAGTTGAAGCCCGTAGTTCTTTGAAGCAAGAGGTCGTTGACTCAAACCTTCATTTTCCTGAAACTAGTTGAAGCCTCTGGTTCAACTTATTCGTTAACTATGGTTTGTTGCAGATTCTGCAGCTTGAGAAAAGATTGCAAGACCAATTCGAGGTTCGTCGTGCTCTGGAGAAGGCATTGGGTTACCGGACCTCCTCCCTTGGGGAGATACCTGAAGACTTAATGCCGAAGGTGAAACCTCAGATTCCTTTTACTGCTTCTAGACATACTTCCATGGCAAAGTTGGTCTTAGCAAAAAAAATTTACTTTGTATTGTGCTCTCTGTAATTCCAGCCAGCCACAGAACTTATCAAGGAAATAGCAGTGCTAGAGCTCGAAGTTGTGTATTTGGAACAGTACCTCCTCTCATTGTACAGGAAAGCATTTGATCAGCAAACATCTTCAGTGTCTCCATCCAGCAAGGAAGAAGGCTCCAAATCAGCTGTTACTACTCCAAGGCTCAGATTCCAGAATGTTCCCCCGAGACCCAATGTCATGTCATCGAGAGACAAATTAACGCTTCAATCACAGGACAACCCATCAAAGGAAAAACTATTATTAGACTCCAGCATCCAACGCTCTCAATCCTCTCTCTCACAATGCTCAGCATTTCCTGCAAGACTTTCTCCTCCAGAAGCAGATTCATCTTTGGGAAGAGCTGTCCGTGCTTGTCATTCGCAGCCTTTGTCCATGATGGAGGTAGCTAGCTTCATTTCCATCCCTTTTACCTAACTACTCGATTGGTCCTAGTGTAAAATCTAATTTCCTGCTGTCCTGTGATGTAGTATGCGCAAAATGCAACGAATATGATCAGTTTGGCGGAACACCTCGGGACAAGAATCTCTGATCATGTGCATGACACACCTAACAAGCTTTCTGAGGATATGATTCGTTGCATGTCTGCCATATACTGCAAGCTTTCGGACCCACCGGTGACAAATAACGGCTTGTCTTCTCCAGTATCGTCGATGTCCTCAATGAGTGCATTTTCTCCACAAGAACAATGTGATATGTGGAGTCCTGGGTTCAGGAACAATTCTTCATCCTTCGACATACGGCTAGAGAACCCGTTCCTTGTTGAGGGACTAAAGGAGTTCAGTGGACCATACAGTACGATGGTCGAAGTCCCCTGGATTTATAGGGATAATCAGAAGTTGGGAGATGTCGAGTCCTTGCTGCAGAATTTCAGGTAAAGATAATGCCAAAAAGTTTGAACCTTGTGTTGTCATGTGATCTCTTTCTAACCTTGATGAACTATTTTCTGTAGATCATTGATTTGTAGATTGGAGGGAGTTGACCCAAGGAAGCTGAAACATGAAGAGAAGCTCGCTTTCTGGATCAATGTTCATAATTCTCTAGTGATGCATGTAAAATTTTCTCTCCTTACACTGCTTTTTTGAGTTTATACTCCTGGATAGGATGCAGTGGATCTTTTTTAAGCAGTTGACCTTACTGGTTTTCCCCCCGGCCATTAGGCGTTTCTTGCATATGGTATTCCACAGAACAATGTCAAGAGACTCTTCCTTCTGTTAAAGGTAAATACCCATGTCCCCTTTCTCAACTGAAAAAAAAAAAATTCAATGAGGTTATGTTTTATTGGCTCTTACTCCTTTGCTCACTTCAGGCTGCTTATAATGTTGGCGGTCATACAATCAGTGCAGACGCGATTCAGAGCAACATCCTTCAATGCCGGATGTCTCGTCCTGGCCAGGTACATTTGAGAATGAGACCATTTTCCTCTCAATCGTTTTGATATCGCAAACTTGATCTCATTCGTCTTGTGAAGCTAAAAAATTTACTGTTCTTTTCTCTCCTTATAATCACAGTGGATTAGGTTACTGATCCCTTCTAGATCCAAATTCAAGTCGGGAGATGAAAGGCAAAGCTACACAATTGATCACCCAGAACCCCTGTTGCATTTTGCACTCAGCTCGGGTAGCCATTCTGACCCCGCGGTAAGCCATTCCCTCGAACAACCAAACTTTCAACTTGCTGCTTGAGACTTGAGTTCGTCCCAAGAAACGAAATCTTGATGTTCTTTCTGGTCACGTGATTCAGGTACGTGCCTACACGCCAAAGGCGGTATATCAAGAGCTGGAAGCAGCGAAAGACGAGTACATTCGAGCCACATTTGGGGTACGAAAGGACCAGAGGATCCTACTACCAAAGATCGTCGAAACTTTTGCAAAGGACTCGGGTCTAAGTCAACCCGCTGTAGTCGAAATGATCCAAGGGTCTCTGCCCGATTCTCTGAGAAAATGTGTCAGGAAATGCCAGCTAGGAAAGCCTCGCAAGATCATCGAGTGGATGCCACATAACTTCAGTTTCCGGTACCTGATCTCGAAAGAGCTGGCTAGATGACATTGCCATATAATAGTTTGTCGGTGTCGAGCTCGATATATATATGCTTTTTTGAATCAATTCTATAGGGAAAGGTGTGTTCATCATTTTGTAAAAAGGGGTAAAGTAGGAAGGTGAGATATCAGTGAAAGCATTTTCCATGTTAGGAGAGTAGAGATTCTTAACCCAACGCCAATCTGTTTTTTGTGCCTAGTAATGGTTATATTGTAATTGGGCAGTTTGCCTCTGGTGTGCCGTGTCATCTCAGGAGAAAGGGTAATAGGTTTCTGTGATGATGGTGTCAAGATTGATGAAAATGAAATGGAAATTGTGCATTGGCTATTTGTACATAAATTCTGCAGCTTTCTCAGAGCAAATACCATTGTTTTATCAGTGTTACTGAATGGCAAGATGAATAGTTTCCTTATATCATGTTTCCCCAAGTTTTACTGGTATTTCACCATGAATGTATGATTCAATGGTAAGCTCTCATTGAACTTCATTGCAACTGCAAATGAAAAGGTCTCAAAGAGCAGCAACTTGATCGAAACCATTGTAAACACACTGATTCCATGCTAGAAAAAAGCCCTCGCGACTGAGGTATCCGATCCCAGGTTCCAGGACTTTTAAGCTCTTTGTTCAATATAAGATCCAGCAAGTCCGGAAGTACCAATCAAGGTCACCTGCAAAAACAAGAGGACCAAAATTTACAGGACTTATCAAACATCTTTCTACCAAAATTTACATCCAAATACCGTCAACAAAGGTCGAAACTTGGAGATTATAAAATGCATAGAACACATTATCCATTATCGGTTTACTATACTAATGATGAAACATACTGATATGCTGCTGCCACTGTCAAACATAAGTTGTTAGGATATGCATATATTGTAATTATATGATGATGTAAGGCAGCAGGATCTTCTCCAATTCTCTGAGGTCAGGAGGATCGCATACGTCTCTGCTTCATTGACCACCTATCTCTGTTATCCATTTATGATGAATTCATTCGTCACACGATATTAGAGGTTTTAACGACCAAACTAACGCCGAGCTCGAATCTTTATAATGTTGAAGGTTGACGCGTACTCAATCGCATCATGGTGGACTTGGCAAGAAGTTTTGAGGTTAATGATAAGATTTTTCGTTTGAGAAAGCACGTTAGAGTGTTTCATAAAATTTACTTTTAAGTTTCTCTTAACAACTTTAGCTATTGGGTTTTGGATCGGATTGATTCTTAACATAGTACCAAAAGTAGGTAGCCGCAAAAGTTTGGTCTGGAACGGGCCAAACTCATGAGAATCGCGGTCTTATAGTAGAAGACATTTTACGAACAATGATCATCGTCATAGTATTCTATCCGATTTGATCCGGTCCAAATTTCAATTCGTTCATTCTCCTTTTCTAAAATTCACGAGACTTATGACTGGTCCTGATATATTCAGTTTGGTATGGTCCGGACCAAAAGTCAGATTTGGTCCATTAATTGCAATAATGATAATACATAAAAAAAAAAAGAAACATTCCAGAATCAAAATCAGTTAGTCACTAAATATTTCCAACTAATAAACCCCAAAAACCAAAATCCCAATGACGAACTACATGTCTACAGACAGTGGAAAGCAAAACAGAGCACTGAGAGAGAGAAGGGTCCAATCAGGCAATTTTCCAAGCGGCGCTTGCCTTCACGGCGAGACCGCACAGATCGGAAATGGACAGCGGGTTGCGAGCGAAGTAGGCCGGCAACAGGAAGTAAAGCTGCCCAAGCTGCAGCTCTTCCTCGTCTCCCAACCGCGGAACCAATTTTCCAATCGACATCGACTCCGAGCTGCAGACGAAACATCCCCCCGCCGCCGCCGGCGACAGAGACGCCACTCTCCCGGCGCGGATCGGGTGCGTGAACTCCTGCAGCTTGCCGTGGGCGCTGACCACCTTCACCGTCGCCGGAAACTGGTCGGATCTTTTGGGGTGTGAGGAAATACAGAGACCCATGTCGAGAAAAAAAAAAGAAGAAGAAGAAAATGCTCTGTTTTTTTTCACACTCTGCTCTGGCTCTCTGAGTTTTACAGAAGTGCGGTTTCGTGACGGCAATTATTGTCAGGAAAGTTGGTCCAGTCGACTTTATATACCACTGATGGTCGGAAAAATACTATCTTTTAATGATGAAATACAGTAAAGATCGATTCTTTGACCGTAGGTTAGGCAGTAGCGAGCTGATTTGATAAATGAAAATGGCTCTAATATCATATCCGTGACTGTGATTGTAGTGTAATTAAGGTGGTAATGAAATGGTCTCGCCGTATTGAGTCAAAAAGATCAAACTGAAAAAGGGGATAATATTGGTAGATGGTCGCATTCTTTCTGTACCTTTCATGATTTTTGAGTTGATCGTTTCATCTCTACTCTTTTAACTTGATATGAGCTGTGCCCGTCAATTTCTTGTTGGGTTAATATCTTATTTTGATCTGAACTATGACCATATAATCAATTTTGGCTCGTGGTTTCAAAAATTAACTTCCTGACCTTAACTATGGAGCATATAGATTCAATTGGCCCGACACATAGTTTGACCGTCAATTTAGACGGTCAACACCGTTAACCGTTAGTCAACATGTCATGTCATTGCCTCGTGAATCTAAAAATCATTAGAAAATTCAAATTCAATTTTTTTCCTAATTTCTATTATTTATCATTTTCAAATTAACCAAAAAATAAAATTTTAAAAATATAAAATAAAATTTATATATTATTTTTAGGATTTTTGAAAATGATAAATTATCGAAAGTATTCATTTTTTTTGAAAGATCGAAAGTATTCATTTGATGCAAGAATTGTTGCAAAATAACTAAAATGGATGATAAAAAATAAAATTCGAAATAGATATTGAATTTCTTTTATATTAATGAATGTTGTTAGCGATTATGTATTGATTATATAATAATGTAAATGAAATAAAATTATGTGATCGGGAAACAATAAGAATTGCGTTTTTATTTTCATTACTATTTTTTTGCATAAACTCCAAATGAAACATTTCGAGTTTTTGTTGTAACAAACTGTTCTCTACCATTTATCAAACCCTGATTTAAAGATGTTTGGTCTGACTTATACTTTTTTTTTTTTGTTAGTTGTTAGCCTCAGAATTCGAACACAGAATATGATGGATGTTCTCACATTACTAATTTTACTGATTTGGTTTACGATGACACTCTATAATTGAGTTATGACAAACCACTACTTCAGTTTCTAGTAGAAGTCTTCACTCGTTTTCATTATGTGCCAAGAGAGTAATCCATTTCAACTTATTGTTGAATTTCGAATTCTCTACAAATAAATGCATATAAATAAATAAAAAATAGTCCACATAGGCTTGCTAATACTGAGGTCACTTTCATCATATCATATTATCATGCATCTAATATCAAAATATTCCCTGTCATTATTGTTCTTGTTACAAATGAGATGTACATTTAAATTTTATTAAAGGGATTTTATCAGATTAATCCCACTTAAATATAATATAATTATTACAATCGAATTAGCAATTAATCCGGTGGGGTTTGATTTGCTTGGAAGCCTGCAGGCGAGAGAGAGTGACGTTTTTAGTTTTTGCCGGATCGTTCCAAAAAAATATCTGCCAATAGTGCAAGCATCTTTGGCAAAATATCATTTTGGGATATCAATTTGCAAAGGAAAGTGTATTCAAGAATGTGTCACATAGAACGTTTGTGCATAATTAAAGAATAACTGCGTTTATAAAATACGGTTAAACAAATCCGAGGAAAGTGTACATTATCGACGAGCGAATTCGACGAGGCAAAGGTTATTTGTAACTACAGAAATCAAATCATGTCGTTGATTATTCAGTCACAAACACATACACAATGAAAGTAGATATTTATGTAATTGATAAATTTGGACTTCTTTTCGAAGATTACAAATTCTAGTTGTTGTAATTCGAGAATCCATTTTCTCACTTGATCATTGAGGTGTCTCATTTATACAAATTGTCAATTTTTTTTTTTGTTGAAACATGTGCACAACATCAAACCGACTCATTCTTGAAAGATAGTTTCTAACAACCCCAAATCCTTATTATTCACAAATACTCAATCGTATAGCTGTGAACTACCGATCCTGAATTCGAATACTAATATCTCCTTCTTGTGCCTCCTCCTCTATCATGCAAGTCCTTGTCACTTCATTAGCGAGTTAATACATTCGTGGGTGAAGTAGGGTGAGTAACTTATATTCAACACATATTGTACATCTCCTCAGTTAAAAACATCAATAGAAATCTAGAATACAATAATTTATGAGTGGTTAGAATGATGATTACACTTCCATACCATCTTCCCATTGGTCCACTTGCCGCTTAGCTTTTAGCTTTGTTTTTGTCTTCCAAGTGGAAGCTCGAGACAATGATTTGAGGGCCATAGGCACCATGGAGCAGCTGGAAAGTGTGGGTTATTGGACCAAACAAACATCGACGTCCTCTCCAACTCCAATCCATTTGGTGGGTCAAAACTCAAAAGGGTCTATAAGGAAACCCTAGTTTACAAGCAAACCCTTTTTCTCTTCAATTCTATTCTAAAATTTTGATTGGGAAGACCCATAACTGTACGTGGCACCGGCCAGTGCCGCCCACAAGCTAGCACGACACAGTTAGAGCACGGCACGAGCACGGGCACGAAATAAATGGGCTAGCCCGGCACGAGCACGAATAATTTATGGGCCGTGTCGGGCCTAAATTTCATGAGCACGGGCACGAGCACGATATATAAGTAGGTCGTGTTGGGCCTAATATTTTCGAGACTTTATTGAGTATGAGAACGGACATGGCACGAAAATAATATTTATTTGATAGAAAATAAATATAAAAAGAATTATGGGTTCAAATATTACAAAACACAAGCAGAAAAATAATTATTTGTTGTTGTTAGAAGTGTCATAAAGATATATACGTAATTACTAACATAAGTAAAAATGGACAAATAATTAAACAAAGTCAAATCACACTCGAAATACTTCCAATTTTCTTTTCCCCCTCATTTGTTACTTTTCTCAAACATTATCGGTTAATACTATCTTCCCCCGTCCAATTTTCACCTTCTTTTTCATTCTCTCTTTTGTTTTCGTGCTTTTCATTAAACACGAATACGAGCATGGCACGAGCATGAATAGGCACGGCACGATTCGAACCGTGCCTGGGCTGGGCCTAGCAAAGTTGACAAATGAGCTTGCATAGAACGGCACGAAAACTGACGGACCGTGCCAAGCACGACACGAAATAAATGGGCTTGAAACGTGCCCGTGCCGTGCCTCCCCAAGCATGGGCCGGCGCCCATGTACACCCATAACTTCATCATATTGCCCCAAAAGTTCAATCATTCTCAGGAACACAACAAAGAAAGGAAGAATTGTGATTTTCCCATTTGGCCAATGGGAATGGTATTGTTAGCTAGCTACATGCTAGCAAGATTTGGTTGGTTCTAAAACCATCTACGCCATGGTGGTGGTTGGATAGCCAAAATATGAATTATAAAAAGTTCTAACGCCATAGTCATGTGTTAGACTTAGAAGTTAGAACACACATAACTACCCAGACATTTCAATGTAAGTAACTAATGATATATCTATACAATCGTTTTTACTTTTCTCACCTTTACGGGAAAAAAGTAATGACTTCTTTCGACTAATCGAGCTATCTAAGTATCTATATTGTATGAAGAATCATTCATTGCAAGTTTTCTTGAGAAGCGGTTTATTAAATTCTACATCGTTGGTCGGTGCAGAAACCTATTTGAAGGGACATTTGACATTTCCCTCCTCTTTAGGGATGGCAATGGGGCGGGTTTGGGGCGGGTTTGCCTAAACCATCCCCATCCCCGCTTTCAAATATCTATACCCATACCCGCCCCATACCCATGTGGGGGAAGGTTTTGCAAACCCATCCCCATACCCATGGGTTTCGGGTACCCATGAGTAATACCCGCCCTGTACATCCAACATTATAATACGGAATATTTTACATGTAGTCTTTCAATTATAACATTAAACACACCTACTATATCATGAAGTTTACAAAGAGACAATCATTTTTAATACGATTCAAAGCATCTTATCCTAAAGCATCCATTAATCCATATCAGAGTAGAGTACAATGTCATTCAAATCATTATTCTCTACTGTGATACATCTATTAAGTAATAATTAACTAACATAATCTTGTTAACAAGGGGAAAAAGTGAAAGAGTGAAGGAAAAATTGAGACAAATAAATTAGATTTTGATTTGGGTGGTCACTTAATTGCATTTCTACTATATATTTTTATTGAGTTATACTCACTATTATTGATAGGTTACAAATCGATTCACATATTTTTCATATGTGAAGAAATATTTTTGGTGGGGCGGGTATGGGTATGGGTATGGGGCGGGGGAGGCTAAAACCATACCCGCCCCATACCCATCAAACCTTTTGCGGGTTTTACCCATACCCGCCCCATACCCGGTCAATGCGGGGATTCCCCGCGTTGACTGAGTCGAGGGCGGTCGGATACCCATGGGCATGGGTTTGATTGCCATCCCTACTCCTCTTACACGGAGGGCGAGACCTTTTAATTTAGACACTTAATTGTCTGGACACCATTTGGTAATTTCCCAAATTGGTTAGATTTTTTTTTTTGTTTAAGCAGCTTATGTCATGCAATTCCCTAAAGTCAACAGGAAAGGCAAATAGCTAGGTTAACCATATATGTTTGTTATATGCTTACGTTTAGCAAGGTCAGTAAGGTGAATGAAGAAGCCAAAAGTCATTCGATCGAAAGAAACTGATCGACGTATCTATAATTTTAAATATTAAATTAAAGATTTAAACAAGTTCACAGTTGAACATCGTATATCGACATAACCCTGGCCCGAGAAACCTCACGAGTTTGTAATTATCCAACTTAAAAAAAAAAAAAAAAACCATGCTTGATTAGGTTTAGTGGTTTGACACCACCAAATCCAATAATGGATCGACCGACCTGACAATGGCTGGACAAAAGAACATACCACTCAGGCACCCACTATTTCTCTTCTTTCTCATCAACCATCATTACTTTACTCCTCCTCAGTCCTCACCACATTTCATCAAAGCCAAACCAGACAGCCTACCATCATCAATATCCTCGTATGCATGTTTATTACATTTTTCGAACCGCCATTTACGTTAAAAAAAAACCAACATAAAATCCGTTTAATATCGGTGTATGTAGTACATTTGTTTAAATTTACGTCCCTCTATTATTGTATAGCAGTGTTTTTTCCACAAATCGTTTCATGCTTCACATACTAAACACATATACACGTTTAATACACACACTTTAAGCAATTGTATTAATAATTTATATGTTTATATTCAATCGTAAATCGTAAATTTATAGTAATTATATTTTATTTCCAAAATTTTACAAGTACTGTTATATTAAAAATTAATATTTGATGCCGAATTTTTAAACGCAATATTATGTTAAAATTAATACAGTGAATTACCGGGGGAAAACTAATACTGTAATATACTTGTAAAGTATTTTACTAGGTATTTTATTTTACTGAGTTACTCTCCTAAAAACATGTGTATATGATCGATCCATAATTTCACACGCTTGAATGCAAGATCCAGCCAGGCTAGCATATTAATCCACAAGTAATAATCCTAATTAATTGCTGCTTACCCACTAATTACATACTAAATCATCCTATCAATCGATAGCAATAGTCTGATTAATCGTGGAAATGTGCTGGGAAATTCTTGTTAATTAATTAAATTAATTTGGCAGTACAGGAATTCGGTTCCCGTTTTCGTTGGAGTTATAATTTCCGCGTAGGCTGACTTCGCAAATCGCAAGTAACATGCCTGCCCTGTCAGTCACAGCTCAGTTAATTATTAGCGGTAAAACATCCTGTTTTTTAAGATCCAACCTCAAATTGGATGGTAACTAAAACTTATTGGAAGAAAAATAAAAAGTAATTAGTTTTTACCCGTCAACAATTAAATATCCAATTAGTCCCATTAGTTTAATATCAGAAACCACTCAATGATCGATTAGTTCGTTATCAGTATTGAACGGCAGTAGATCTTGAAAGTGATTATTTACGAGTACTAATTAGGGTTATAGGTATTATATGCCCCTCTATTATGACGTTTTATCAAACATGCCTCTTTATTATTTTTTACATCAAACATACCTCTGTAATTTGAAAAAATTATCAAACATGCCCTTATGTTAAACTTTCCATTGAAAAATTCGTCAATCATGGTTGAACCGAGATTTAGACGACCCGAGCCAAAGTTCGGCATTGGTTAACGGTTTTTGGATGGAAATTTAACAAAATGGCATGTTTGATAATTTTTTCAAAGTACAGAGGCATATTTGATGTAAAAAATAATTGAGGGACATGTTTGATAAATCGTCATAATAGAGGACATATTTTACCTATATCCCTACTAATTAATATCGAATCTGTTTAGTATCATAATTTGTGATTAAACTTCCTAAAATGGAAACTTAACAGTTCAGCTATCAACGTTAATGAACAAGAATCATCATCATCACCAATGATCATCATATGAATTCCTTTCGAACACAGAGGCTCATCAACATCAGCTCATCTAGGGGTAAAATTGTAATACAACCCATAAATGGGTGACATCCTCAACAAGGAGGGCATAATTTTCCATGGAATCTTCGTCTAATATATTTACACTCATTTCCCAAACTACCCTCGCGGCTCACTCCGGTATGGCGCTCAACATCGCCGCAAACTTCTTCTCGCTACCGCTGCTGCTTCCCCTCCTCCTACTCCTCCTCCCGCCGGCGGCCGCCGCGGGGGGAGCGGACCCTCGCCGCCGGCACTTCCCCACATCACTCCGACACCCAGATTTCTCGAAATCGATGCCGCCGCCGCCGCCGCCGGCGGCGGAAGTCTTCATCAACGCCGAGCTGGCCTTGACGGCCAATGCGGCCATTTCCTCCGGCTGGAGAGGCCGCCGGAGCCAGGCGACGGGGAGGGCGAAGTAGAGCTGCCCCGGCTGGAGCTCCTCGTCGTCGTCGACGGCCAAAACGGCGTCGTCGAACTCCATCTCGTCGGCGTTGCATATGAAGTGCGGCGCGTGGGTGTCGATCATCCGGAGGACGAACGACGCCTTCACCGGGTAAGAGAACTCCTGGAGCCTCCCGTCCTGGAGGATCAGCTTCGCCGTCGACGCGCCGCCGCCGACGCGTGTAGAATCGCAAGATCGGCAGTTGCCCATTTCCGTATTCAAAATCGGCCGGAATCGATAAAGATCGAGACTTTACCGAAATCTGAATGATGGGCTCTTGTTGATTTTCCGGTCAAGGGAAAAGCAATTGATTTGCTGATTTTGGTTTTTGGTTTTTTTTGATCGGAGAAGGCTGGAATGGCGAGAGGAGAAATGGAAAGGGAAAGTTATAGGGAAAGAGATGCCTCGTGAGATGTGCCGTGGGTGCCACGTAGGAAATTGACAATTTGTCGTGTTTTTTCGAAAGGGAAATTGGAGTTTTTTTTTCCCCATTAATTTTTGTATAATAAGAGATTATGGAGGAGAGATGGGAGGAAGAAGAAGGAGAAGAAAGAACGAATCCATTGCATAGAACAGAGAGCAGTGGAGGAGGAGAGGGAAGAGGACAATGCCAGGCTGTATGTTGGTGGAGGACAGGTTGTCTTTTTGTGTACTACTTACTACTCTCACTCACTCACTATGTCGTTACTCACCGAATTTGCCAATTGGTAATTAATTTCGGTTTCGACACGACCCTAACTCCTCGCGTATTATTAATCAAAATAAATGAAGTTTATCTACTGTCGCGATATGGTCGTGCTTTTCAATGTTGTTGACACATGCGATTGTGGGTCTCTAAGATGGTGATGCACCGAGGGTTGTTCTCTATCGATCGAATGAGCGAGTAACTGCATAACCGACGTGAGTCTGTGTGAATTAATCCTGGCGATGTGGGGGTGTTGAAATGCAGATTAATTGATTTGACTAGAATTGGGGAAATCGTGATTATCCAAGTTGTCATATACAAATTGTGTTTTTGGGTCAAAGGGTTCTCATCAATCTACCAAATGACATGTACCGATTAAGACTTAAGACTTAAGAGTGGATCTCGTCGCTTTTAGTACTGTAATATGATCTGGCATTTCTGTAAAAAAGAGGACGAGGAAATTAATGGCGTAGATGGGCAAAATTAATTGCCATTGGAGTGGGTGAAAAAGGACCGAGGGAAAAGTTACTGCAGCCTGCAGGGGATATTTACCGGTTCTGAGGTGAATTACAGTGGGAATCTTGGGTAATTAAGAATACGGTATAACCAAATTAAAGTACCTTTCTCGCTTTGCTTTCTCTCGGTATATAAATTAATCAAGCTTAATAAAATTAATTAATCACAATACTTTTCTTAAAGACCGCATAATTAAGCCTAGCTACTTTGAACCCTGTGGATCATGATGGTCACTATATATATATATGCGTGTATCTCCCTTGGTTGCAGTCACCTTCACACTCCCGTTCTCATACTAAAAGATTGCGACTTTAATTTGGTGCGTACTAATATTAATCAGATTAGGCTTGAGCTCTCTAATTCACATTAAACGTAAAGTAATTCCAAATCGAGTGCAATGCATGTCGTTTTATCACTTGTCCCGTTTGACCATAGTACATGCATGTGTTAACTTCGATAGCCACATGAAAGTGCTGAAAATCTTAATTTTTTAGTTGACACGTCCTACATAAAACGAGAAAAATGGGTCATCCTTGCGTAGTGGACATGTTAATATTTTTTTTTGTATCGTTCCAATTTTATGGGATTTTCTCGGATGGACTTCCACATATTGTTAGGATTGTATATCTGCAGAATTACTACTCAGGCGACAATAACTCCAGTAAGCCTGAGCCCTATCTATCAAAAAGTCTGGAATTTATACAAATTTGCCATACTTTGTGCTCTAATCAACTGTAAATATTGAAATTCATCAAAATTCGAAACACGCAGATTTTTCAATCAAATTAAACTTTAATACCATGTGAAGCCAATTAATGAATTAAACCTAATAATAACTGGAGGAGAACAATAATATATTTTTATACCAATTGATAAATCACCTATGGTTTTCGCGATGATTTCCTATATTTTTTGATAAGTGAAAGTGAAAACTGGTGTTTGAAAAGAGGGCTTTTTCCATTGTTGTAGATGGGGAAACAATAAATGGGAGTATTTGCATTTATATAACTTTGCATGCAACTATATAAAATAGATTTCGAGAAAGGTGGCGGAGAAGTAGTCCACGGTAGCTCTGCTTCAAAAGCATCATTATTTATTATCCAGATGGACCGGGTTCGGGCCGGAGTTGAACCGAATTAAAGTAACGACGAACAAAAGCCACCTATATATGCCAGGAAGCAGGAGAACTGAAAACGTGGCACGACGATATGGTGCATGGCGAGTCGAGAAAAGATACGTGGAGAATACAAAAGGAAAAAGAAGAAGGCTACGACGACAAAAAAAAAAAAAAGGCAAAATTTTCAGAAATTAAAATAATTTTTTTTGACGAATAATAATTGATTGAAACAAAACAAAACTGAAAAAGCACGAACAAGGCGACAAAGGAGAGAAAGGGGATGGCGTAAAGAGTAAAGACGTAATAAAAACCGATGGTGGCTTTTTACAAACTCGAATCGTCAATTTCTTGTGCTATAAATAATATAAGTGAATCCCCCCCCCCACAGCCATCATCACTCCTTTAAGTCTGGGCTCGATTTCAGAGCGCTTTTGTCCACTTCTCCTCCATTTTTGTTTTTTACTGGTTCGTGATCGAAATTCTGTGATCGTGTCCGAGTTGAGAAAAAACTGTTGTGTGTTACTAACGATCGCGAATTATGTTAGGATGTGACGTTCGAATCGTAGTAAGATTAGTTGTACTTATATGATCCGGTTGAAAACAATCTTTTTTTTGTAACGGTCGGGAATTTGGATGTCGTACCTTTTGTATGTTTGTTAATTTTGATCTGTTTATTAGAAAACATTACGTACGTTTTACGTAATGTTTGGAAATCTTATTGAACACTCTTGTTCGAATTGTTTTCGGTTGTTTGATCATGTGTGGTTAATGCTTGTTATTTGTACGTGTGTGGGGGGGCCCTAGAGATAAAAATATTTTAGAATAGATTTAATTTAAAATGAATCGAGAATGATATATATAGGATTAATGGGGCTTTTTCATTTTGTTAATATTGTGTTACGTTTTTTTTCTTTTATAATTATTTGGTGGCTGTCAATTGTATTTTTTTTAAATACAAAAGATCGCTGGTATATATTACCGAGGAAAGCAATTATATAGAGAAAGTCACACAACCGGAAAATACTCATGAAATGGATTCGAATCCAAATAAAGAAGGGGAAAAAACAAAAAAAAAAAAAATTCTTCATACTATCAAATGGACAACCCTATTACTGTTACGTCAAACAAATCGAGCAAATACTAAACTAGCCAAAAGACATCACAAAAATTCAGGATATCCTCAATCACCGTCCCGCGGCAGATGCATGTCAACTGCCCATTCATGATCTTGTCGATGACGATCTTTGCATCACCTAATAAGCCCACCGTATCGCATCACGAAGAGTCAGAAACTCCACTTTGAAAGGATCTCAAATGAACACATAGAAGTTCTCTTTGTATTTATTTGTTACGAACTTGGTCATGTTTCTTTATTTTTCTTATTATTGATTTTAGTAGTTCGATTTTGTCTGTTTTTTTTTCTTTTCCAGCAATGAATTCGGTTTGCTGTTTCCTCGACCGTCGGGAGGTGACTCGAGTTCTTTGTATTTTTTTTTCGAATTGTGTGCATGTAGAGAAATTTATTATGTATTACTTTGACGAGTTCAATTTCGGTTTTGTTTGTTTTTCCAACCAAACTTTTCTTTGTTGACTTATAGTTTTGTTTCGGTATAGTATAGTTGTAGGGCTTGGATTTATTTATGGTGATTGTCGTCACCAATGGTGTCAATCTTGGTTGGTTCATATGTTGCATGAAAATTGCCAGATGACTCTTCAATTGGTTTTGACTGGACTGGAATGCTTTTATCTCCATCAACCTAATTATATAGCATCGCTTATATAATTCATTTTATTATTATGTTTTTTCAACGTGGGATTTGGGAAGAAGTGGCCGGATGCATGTACTTACGTTGATCGGACTTCGAGTACTGCTTACTGTTCGCATTACAGACAGCACATCATACTTGGATGAATGAATCTGTTACGAGAATCAAGCCATCGTAACTATTGAACCTTAATCTGGGTTTGGATATTTTATTTTTTAATATTTTATTAATTAATTGTCCTTATTAGTAGTTTTCTTGTCTAAATAGGATTTGGGTATTGTTAGTAATTTTCGTATAGGAGTAGGAGTCATGTTCTAGATAGGATAAGGCAGAGGCTTCTATCAATGCGAATAAATATGTACTTGGTCTTTCGTTTAATGTCATGTTGAAGATTGGAATCCAATAATAGTTGTAGTTATCTTCGTTCCTCTGAATATTCTATTCGTTCTAACTCTCTTTCTTACGAATATCTTTCAACATCGACGACGCACGTTACGTGAAGGTTCTCACCGGAGAAATACACGTAACAGAATCACCTTTTTTAAGCAAGGAATCCTTTCTCAGTTTTTCTGCCAGAACTCCAAAAGAAATTAAGCAAACCCTAGCTACTAGCGTAAACAATATCTTAATATACATGCATTTCTCTCCTTTTCCCCTTCGTTAGCTTTAAACGATGGGCATGTTCAAATATTCTTGCTCCCAAACTAAGAGAGATCGTTAAAGAGATCGAGCCAAGCGGCGGGAGAGCAAAAGAAGAGCAGTACAGAGTACATGAATTCGATCGTACTTCTTCATATGATCATCCCTTTTCATTGATTATATTCATCTAATTTTTTTTATAAATAAATGATTCGAGTGAATTATATTACAATATATTGATTTGTTTTTTTTATGGTACTTGTGTTCCTTTTTGGGTTATAGGTATAATATGCCCTATATTATGGAGAAATTTTACAATACTATATAGTATTGGTGTTATAGGTTTTTGCCTTTATGGTACAACTTGAAATTGTACCTTTAACATTATGGTCCAACTTTAGATTATACCTATATATTGTTTGTACCAATTCTTTTATGGTACAACTTGAACTTGTACATTTATGTGATAGTACAACTTCAAGTTGTA